TCTTCATTGCACCCAACCAGCAGGACGTGTCCATACTCCAGGACGGGACGAATCAATGACAAATACACCTGAACCAGATCAACAACACTCATGCCTTGCTTGGTCAATAATCTCAGATAGTGTAGCCTACTGGAGGCCTTTGAAACGGTAGACTTCACAAGATCTTGGAAGGAGAGTTTACTGTCAAATGTAAAGCCAAGGCCCTTTGCTGTTCTAGTGACTGGAACAGGTTCACCTCCCAGAGACAGTGGCGGTATTGCAGGGATGTTTCTCTTGAAAGAGATCAGCAACGACTGACTCTTCTTGCCATTCAACAACATGTCATTGTGATGTGCCCAGGACTACAACATGACTATCAGAACAACAACATGACTGCAAAGTTCGAACTTCCGAATGTATATAATCATTGTGCACCTTGCGTTTATATTGAACTTTATAAAAAAAATGTTTATGACACCAAAATAAAACGTTTTCTTATTAAACGTTTTCTCTTCAATAAGACCCAAACATAGAAAAGCTCGACGAAATTCTGGAGGAATATTATTCTATTTCAAAAGCAAACTGGCAAGGTTTGTCAAACGAGAACATGGCACGTCCGAATGTCCAGATTTACTATGGGTTAGAATTTCAAAAGACCTGTTTGGTTTGCCAAGAGACATATTTATCTGTAGTGTTTACATAAGCCCAGTGTACTCCGCCATACATAAAAGAACAGATGATAGTATTTTTGACATCTTAGAGCGAGATATAGTACACTTTTCCTCCAGAGGCTACGTCATCCTAGGAGGAGATTTTAACTGCAGAATAGGCGCATTGTTAGACTTTGCTAATGAAGACCACATTGACACAGAGTTTGATCTAAATGTAGATGCAATTTCTCATGTAAATATCCCACGAAACTTTGCCGATAAAAGCCATCCAAATGCCTTTGGTAAAATCCTAAGCGACCTTTGTATCCAATCTGACCTCCGCATTCTTAACGGACGGATTCTAGGTGATCTGAACGGCAAATACACGTGCTACCAACCGAAAGGCTGTAGCACAGTTGACTACGCCATCACTAACAGTTCCCTTCTCCACACGATTAATACTTTCAAAGTTCACACCCTGACCGATGTATCTGACCACTGTATGATTTCTCTGAATATCAGCGCGGACACCTGGTCAGTTAAAAACACAGCATCGCCAAAAAGTAAACTACAGCATATACCGAAACGGTTCATCTGGGGTCCAGACTCCAGAGAAAAATTCCTTAAAGCTTTAAACAGTTCACCTATCTCTAAGAAGATGGAGGGTTTTTTATCCGACAACCATGAACCCAATTTAAACATCGATAATAACGTTCAAAACATGCAAGAAATATTAGAGTCGGCTGCGAAAGCATCGCTACAAATGAAATGTACTAAAAGGACAAGTAGGCCAAAAGCGAACAAGAAATGGTTCGATAAAAAGTTGCTACGTCTTCAGGAATGAACTAAAAAACTTGAGATACCTTCTAAATACAAAACCCAAAAATCCGTTTCTGAGAGGTAGCTATTTTAAAAAGAAAAGGAGTATAATAAACTTATCCGAATGCGCAAAAGAGAACATGAAAATAGTTGTCTAGAACAATTAGCAAATCTACAAGAAAACAACCCCACTGCGTTCTGGAACTTACTTAAAAAACTAAAAAAGACAATACCACACCCCAAGAAGATATTCCAAGTGACACATGGGTGGAACATTTTAAAGCCCTCCATGATAAATCCAGACAACAACGTCAAGCCTTCGACCTTGCCTTTGAAAAAGATATATCATGCAAATTAGATACGTTGCGGAAAGGTGAGGCAAATCCGAGTCCGCTAGATGACCCAGTAACGGAATTAGAAATAAATAGTGCTATACACCTGTTAAAAAATAAAAAAGCAAGTGGAGAAGACATGATAACTAATGGAATGATTAAAGCAGGGAAATCAATCTTACTGGCACCGTTAGTTAAATTATTCAATCAGATTCTGTCAAAAGGAAACTTCCCCAAAGAATGG